TTACATTTTTAGTTATTGTTTACTAACATTTAGCTACCATTCTGCTCTTTTAACTTTTTATCTACAGTTCAGCCACGTACTTGATTTTCTGATTTTAGCATTTAGCTGCCATTTTGCTAATTTACATCTTTAGTTATTATTTAATACTTTTACATTTAGCTACCATTCTGCTCCTTTAACCTTTTATCTACAGTTTAGCCACATTTAGCTACTTTATTTTCTGATTTTAGCATTTAGATACTGTTTACACTTTTACTCTTTTACTGCTTACTACATTTATCTATCGTACTGCTCATTTACCTTTTATCTACAGTTTAGCCAAAGTTAGCTACTTATCTTCTGATTTTAGCTTTAGGGTGTGTTTAGCTAGTTTTAACTGCTGTTTTGATCATTTCAGCTGCGTTTTGCTCAATTCTAGCATTTATTTAGCTTTTTTTTTGCCACAGATCTACCGCTGTTAGCTTTTAGCGCGTGCTCTGCCCACTGTAACCTCTGTTCTGCTTGTCTGAATAACTCAGTTTTGCTTCAACAACTTTCTGTAAAGTGACTCAACGCAGCAGTTCAAGCAAAAAAAAACCTCCAAACTATCTCTGTTTCCTGCAGTGATGCAAACAGGACAAATGCTGCAGGAAAGTGAAGCTGAAGGAGTTCAACGAGCTGAATGACGAGGACATAAATAAACGCTGAAGCTTTAATAACTCCTTTCATTAAGTTCTAGTGGAACTCTGTCATTCGGCTGTTAGCTGCCCACACATGGAGAGAGCAGCCGAGGTTTCTCTTCAAGTCAAAAGACTAAGTGACTCCGGAGGAAAGCACATCCTGTCCAGCCTCATTATGTGGGGCTGAAGGCCGCTCGTCACGCGGTTGCTAAGCAGCACCGCTGTGGCACGTGCACTCACCTGGCCGTGCACATTTTAGGGACACTGTGGAGGAATTGCGTAACGGATCCGATCTGAAAGGAGCTTTTAAAGATTCAGGCGCCGCTGAACTCAGATCTGATCAGACTAAAATGAAACTGTTTTATTTGTGTCTGAGCACGTTTAGCACGTCAGCTCTGACTGAGGCTTCAGAAGTTCGGTTGTATTTGTACAATATTACGTTTTTTACTGTTTTTAAATTTCTGACATCGTGTGAGATGAATTCCCCTTTAGCAGCCAGTGGAGAGTTGATAAAACATTAACCTGAACACACACGTGCAGCTGCAACAACCCCAAAACCATAAAAAAGAGCTAAGTGAGGTGCAGCCGAGATACGATACATACATAGATTAAAACAGCCGACAACGTGCCACCTGTCAGAGCGGGGAATAACAGAAGTAAACAAAACAAAGATTAAAAAACTAATTTTAACTAAATTCAGTGACAAGAGAGACTTATTCCGGTCGGCTTTTGATTTGATAAGCACAAATATTAATCCTAATCTAATTAAACTAATTAAAACCTGATCAGTATTGTAGCTGAAAGCTAAAATGAGCATAACTGCAGCTAAAGGCAAAAGCCAGCAAAACACTAATTTAAAGCTAAAACCATTGAAACAGTAGCTAAAACCTACAATTTGCAAACTGATCAATTTAAAATCCAAACAGCAAGAGTTGCCTAATTTTAAAATGTGAACAAAGAGCTAAAACTAGCAAAACAAAAAGTTATAAAGTTAGCAAAACCTTCAATTAGCAAAATTGTAACAAAAAATAAATAAAAGCTAAAATTAGCAAGACTGTAGCAAACCCAAAGCTAATACCTAAAACTACCCAGACAGTCGCTAAAAGCTAAAATTAACAAAACATTAGTGAAAAGCTATAAAATGAACTAAACAGTAGCTAAAAAATAACCAAACAGTAGCTAAAAGCTAAAATTAGCAAAACAGTAGCTAAAGCTAAAAAGAACAAAACAGTAGTGAAAAGCTAAAATGAGCTAAACAGTAGCTAAAAGCTAAAATTAATTAAAAATAGCTAAAAGCTATAACAAAACAGCTGGTAAAACCTACATCTACCCAAACAGTAGCTAAAAGCTAAAATTAATAAAACATTACCTAAAGCTAAAATTAACTAAATGGTTGCTAAAAGCTAAAATTTACCAAACATTAGCTAAAAGTTAAAAAGAACTAAACAGTAGCTAAAAAAAAACCAAACAGTAGCTAAATGCAAACATTAACAAAACAGTAGCTAAAAGCTAAAATTAGCAAAACAGTAGCTAAAGCTAAAAAGAACAAAACAGTAGTGAAAAGCTAAAATGAGCTAAACAGTAGCTAAAAGCTAAAATTAACAAAATAGTAGCTAAAAGCTTGAACTACCAAAACAATAAAACGGTAGCTATACGTAAAATTAGCAGAACACGAACCTCAAAGCTAAACTTAGCTAAAATTAAAGATTCCTATTCATTTAATTGGAACTAAAACGTTTAAATAAAGTTTTTTTTTTTAAATATATAAAAGTTATAAAACAAGACTAAAGGATTTATGGGTGGACGTCTACCTGAAGATATAGATAAAATAAACGTCTATAAATTAAGTTCATTTTGTTTAGAAGAAACATCTGGATAGGTTTGTTCGTGTCTTTTCAGACAGATGTTTTGTTCGTGTCTTTTCAGACAGATGTTTTGCGGTCACTTACTTTGCTCGTCGAATTTCCTGATGATCGTGTCCAGGTAGGTGTTCTGGAGCGCGACGTGTCCGCGTCTTACCGGCATTGTGGCGCAGAGGATCAACACCTCCCCGCAGCATGAACCTCTCAGTAAACAGGTGAAAAGCCCCTCCGTAAATTAAAACAAGGTTCCACCGAGAGGGACTGAAGGTCGCGCGCTGCCTCCGACTGAGGGATGAAGTCTGGAGACGGATGGAGACGGAGGCTGGGTACCCGGGCGATGGCAGCAGGATGTCCACACGAGAATAAATAAATATATATAAAGTGTTCCGAAAGAGTTCAGAACCCCAAAGTGTCACAGATCCAACAAACAAGACCAGGATCCGTCTAATTAAAGAGAACCTGTTGTGGGACAAAGTTGGAGACCAAAGCTGTTACGCGCGAAGATCCGTCAGTTTTCTTGATAAAATCAACATTTGAAGTCTGCGCGATAAGGACGAGAAACAAGAAGCTCCTGTTTGTCAGATTCACAAATCCAGACCCCCTTCAAAACCTCTTCAGCCCCTCTCCTCTCACCCCTGCCGACTCACAGCCAAAGACAGGTTACCGGAAGTCCTGCTCGGTCTTTCAAAATAAAACAGTTTTTTCTTCATTGGAAGAAGGGGGCAAGATTGGATGGATGGATGGATGGATGGACGGATAGATGAATGGATGGAAGGATGAATAGTTGGATGGATGGAGGGATGAATGGAGGGATGGATGATGGATGGACAGATGGATGGATTGATGTGTGGATGATGGATGGATAGATGGATGGATGGATGATGGATGGTTGGATGATATATAGTTGGATGATGGATGGATGGATGGATGGGTGGGTGGATAGTTGGATGAATAGTTGAATGGCTGGATGGATGAATAGTTGGATAGATGGATGGATAGTTGGAGGGATGAACAGTTGGATGGATGGACAGATGGGTGGATGGGTGGATGAATAGTTGGATGGATGGATG